TTGTTCTTCGGATTGAAGAGAATATTGGTATCTACGATGCTCTCATATTCTTTCAGTTCTACGTTAGTTTGTAATTTAATTTGTTATATAGAACAGGAAATCTGTTATATCATTCTACCTCGAGTTTCCTTTAGTTGATGTAGAGATGAATATGTATGTATGCATTGTATACAGTCACACGCAGACATGCACACACTCATGTACATGGAACAAATTTGCTGTTACCCGGCATTAGAGGTTGAATAAACCCAAATTATAGCTCCCTGGGGCAATGGGGGGGAGGGGGATGTAAAAGATCTTACAAGAATCCAGGTCAGATTTTTGCGTAGGTGTGTAGTTGATATTCTGTTATTAGCTTACCAGATTACCGACACAAGATCTTTACAGGTCCCAAAACAGTTGATTCTTTTGTGTCACCTTATATGCTTATCAGGTTATGGGATTCCAGTTCAACTCGAGGAGTCGAGGTTAGACATGTCTCAAGTGTAACCTAGGAGCAGTCAAGGTTAATAGTACGAGATTCTCTGTTTTTCTGGGTTTCCGAACATAGCATCTGTTTATGTACTATAACCTGTTTCATAGTCATTACTGCGGCGATGCTATTAGGTCATCACAAACTTTACATGTTAGAAAATGCTTATGTATATTGCTATTTGGAACTGCATGCGTAGGTTTTCAACCATGCTATCAACCGTGATCCATGATGCTTACCCCCCTACTTCCGGCGTTATTCAAGACAAGCTAACCAAAAACCAACATTCTTCTTATACTTTAGCTTCTAATCCTGTACTTCGTACTTTTAGAGTGTAATACTGTACTTGTACAGGTGGTCGCCTCAGGCATGCTTTTATTGGCATTGGATTTCGAGAAAGACCTGAAGCCTATGACTTCCAAGCTGCTCTTCACGACCATATGAAGTATGTTGCTTTCCCGTCTTCACTATGCACGTTCACCTTTTACCTCTCTTTCCATTGTCCTTTTTATTTAGTATGGGTAGGAAGTGGTTAACTTAAATGAGGTGCTTCTTATTTGTTGTGTGTTTAATTGATGGTCTTTATTGATTCGATTCAAAATATGCTAACCAGATACCTGAATAAGAAGAAAACTGCAGAAGAAATGGAGCAGCAATACCAAAAATCCTCATCAGTTGACTACAGTTTGAAAGAGGGGGAAACCCTGAAACTTCAGATAAAGAATGTTAGTATTATTTCTTGTTTAATAGATTTACCAGCAATTATGTTACTCTTGTTATCCTGTAACCTCGTCTGTTTTTGGCGACAGAAAACTGGTGGCAGCACCATAAGATCCAAGTTCTTTGAGCAGGGTCTAAATAATCTATCATTGGAGGAAAAGGCCAACCGGAAGGATTCGGCGATATTAATCAAGCCGCCGCCACCACCTCCAGCACCGCTTTCACCTGTCGATACTGCTGCAAAATCTCCCCTGGTATCACCATCCAAATTTAGTCTTGAGCAATCTGCTGAAACTGAGGACTCCACGTCAGCAAAAGAGCAGCCAAATAAACCAGAATCAGTTAAAGATCAAGGTCCACAAGATGTTGAAGATGATGACTTTGGGGATTTTCAAGCAGCTGGATGAATATTTTGTTGGAAACTCAAGTACAATTGGAATACTAAAGTTAAAAGTTCATACTAGATACTGTTGTTGAATGCCTTGGTACATATGATGTGTATTATAGTTTTCACTCCATATCTTTATTGTCTTTCCTATACACCTTTTTGCCTAAAGAGCCTTTCATTTTCTTTGAAGCAACTTTTATCTGGTGGGAGAAACAAGTTCTCTGCTAAAATCAATTGATTGTACTTAAAGAGCTTTTTTTTTCTCATCTGATGTTCGGAATCTATTGGACTGATTAATCCGAATTTGTGGTAAAAATAGCACGAGCTAGCCAGTTTTCGGACTGATAATTTAAAAATAGCAACCGTTTGCAAAGTTATTGAAAAATAGTCACTATTTTGCTGCAATACGGACCGGTTCAACATAATATAATGAAAATTGGTGCACCTGTGTATGAACTTCCAGCATATTATGCTGGAACTCCAACACGCGGAAAGTTCCAGCATAATATACTGGAAATTGGAGCACCTATGTATGAACTTCCAGCATATTATGCTGGAACTCCAACACGCGGAAAGTTCCAGCATAATATACTGGAAATTGGAGCACCTATGTATGAACTTCCAGCATATTATACTGGACCGGTATATTATACTGGAACTCCAATATATTATGTTGGAATATTTTTCGGATTTTGAACAGTGTTTTCGTTCAGATTTATTTTTACATGAAAAATGGTTAAATTTCGATTACTCTTGAAACTGTGACTATTTTTTAATTATCACTTATAAATCTGGTTATTTTTGAATTTCTCCCGAATTTGCGCCGTGAAAAGCCAACCGTGAAGGGTTTTAATACTCCCTATTATCAAAGAACCCTATTCGAAGAATAGGGCTTTGGTTAAAGGTGAAGAATCTTTTATCATTACACCATGCTCTTTAGTGATTTATGAACTCTATTTTTATTTTGTGAAAGGACTCACGTTGTTGTATTGGAATTATTTTGTGTTTAGTTTCACCAACGATCGAGGTGAAACTTAATCTATACAAAGAATCTTAGGATTATCTACTATAACTACTAAGTTGTAGTACTACTATTTATTTAAATTCATCTTATCAAGACATTCTTTTCCTTATTAAATGTTAAAACACTCGTTATAAAAATATTTCCTTTTGGGCTCCAGTTGACTTTTGAGCAAGTGGATCTTCTATATTAGTAGTTGATTTGCAAGTGCGCTTCTAAGACGCATTCTTGTTCACCAATTTCAAATGTTCCTTTATTCAAGAGAAAGAATAAATAGTTTTTAATGAATATATAATTTAGGAAGACAATATGTTTGATATCATTTTCAAGGAAAAGAAAATTATTTTTCCCTCAATTTCAAGATTCATGCTTCAATGCTTGTGTTCTTATCCTTAGAATAGTTATCAACCCATCATAGTTGATGTTGATAAGGGTGATGCCCCCCC